GTAGACACAGAAAGACGAGCGAGAGAGAGAGAGAGATGGAGGAAGGGGATGGGGTAGGGGGGCAGAGGAATCGAAACGTGTCTTTCAGGAGAAGCGGCGTATTCCCAAGCAGGCACCAGCAACAAGAGGCTTGTCCCGGCTTTAAACCATCTCCAAGAGAGCGCGTTGCCCCCTTTGCGCTCCTGGCGAGTCTCGGGAGTGACTGAGGTTTCAGGTCACGGGTGCTGATGTCTTGCAGATGTACTCGCGAGTATTAACTCTCACCGAAAGGAAGACGTGGGTTTTCAGGAGTCCAAGAGTGCCCCCCGCCCTCCCCTGGTCTCGCTCTCAGTTGCTCTCCCCCACCCCTCTCAGTTGGATCAAGCCGCTCTCTGGCACTTCAAAAGGGCCAGTCTGGCACACTGGGGAGACTTTGCAGGGAATACATGAAAATTAGAGACCCAAGGGAGGGCAGCTCGAGACTTAATAGGGGCCTGTAATTACGTGGCAAAGTCTTTGTGCTGTTTCTGACGTTTTACAGACCCCTCTTCTACAGCGCAAACTCTCCCTCCACCACCAAAAACAGACTGATTAAGAACTCCCCTCCCCCCTTCGCCAACATCTGATGTAGCGAGCGAGCGAGCGGGGAAGACCCTTTGCGTTTCTTAAATAACGATCGAATTATCTCTCTCCCCCCCCCTTGCAATAGGATCTCTGGCAGAAAAGTCAAACTGAAAGCCACAATAATTTCAAACAGGCTGATTATTTTGCTTCAGCATTAACCCCTCCTGATTTGTTTTAAATCTTGTTGGAGACTCTCATTTGCATGTTTTGATAACAGCTGCAGGGGAAACTTTTGGAAACAGTCCATGTCCATTCCAATCAAGTTTTCTCCTATTTTTTTAACGTTTCCTGCTGTTCCAACCGTTTGGCTTCAGGCTATTAAGAAAGAAGAGAGGAACCCAAACAAGGGGTTGGATTTAATATACAGATATTTGAACCAGATAGTATATTATTAAATACAAGCATCAGCAAGCAACTATTAATGAAAGTTAATGGATAGGGCGATCTGTTTAAGATGTGGGATGCATATTTCAGGAGCCTTCATTCAGCAACATGTGGGAGAACAGGTCTCCTTGCTGTTAGAATCCATGGAAATAGGAGGGTGGAAGAGATTATTTAAATAATTAAAACCCATTCAGTAACTCTGAACGATCTACAGATCAGATCAGGACAGATCAGAAATCATTAAAGCCGCAGAAAGAGTAGGCGAAGGCATTTAACTTGAACCCAGATCCTTAATTCCTATCCAGGCAAAATTCCCTTTGCCATCAACAGGGCTTGTGACCGAGTAAAGAAATGGGCCCATAGACTAGGAGAGCTGTGTGGAGAAATGGGAAAACGTCTGATTCGTTCAATTAGCGCTCAGCCAGTTCAGAGGTTTTCGTGAGCCCTGTTTTGCAGAAAGATGTACTCACAAACTTCTGTCCTCGACTTGAACAGTCGAACCAAGAGGGGCGTCTGATGTGCCCCCAAGTGCAATGCTGTAACAGCTTGAATAGCCTCATAAGGGATGAATTACTGCATGGACAGCAGGTAAAATATGACGTGCTTATTTGTAGAGATTGCGGCTCGCTCTCTCGCTCTCTCTCTCTCTCTCTCAAAAAAAATCTTTTCTATTGAAGAGGGGTCAGCGAGGAGAACCAAGAGGGTTGCATGAGTTTTGAGTGAGGGAACTCCCCAGGAGAGAGAAAGACCCATGTGTTTAAATGGCCGAGCCTGGGCTCCAAACTGCCATAGCCAGCCCAGAATTTCCAGCCCCCTGATCTGGGAAAAGAACATTTGATGCCATCAAAGGGCTGCAGATTGAAACCAGATGTGCTTTCCTCGGCTCTTTCCATGCATTTAATTAAGGAGCCGGGATAGAGGAGACTTTTTCATCATTAGGTCTCCCGCCTCCTCCTCCCAAAGTTTTCCCTTCCCAGCCTGGAGAGCCCAGAGCTGTGCCAGCGCCGCGTTTTTCCTTTGCATGGACAAATCCGCGCTAGCTAGAGAATCCGCGGACCTGTGTGTGCGTGATTAAATGCGTGTCTGGAATCAGTGTGTGTCCTTGGAAGGAATGTTTTTCTGTGTGTGTCCGTCCGGAAGCACAGGGCAGAGCGTGTCTGTGTGTTGAACACGAGTGTCTGCCTGTGTGCCTAGATTTGTGCATAGGTGTGTTTGGACGAACGTGGGGCTCTGCGCGTGGGTGCCTGTGTCTAGCTGCAGCTTTGTGTTTCCCTTACTTGAGTCTTCCCTTCAGGAGCCAGGTAGCTGGGCACACCCCAGCCAGCTCCCCAACGCTGAGTCCGACCCCTGCCTTTTCACCGACGTGCTGCTGCTTTCGCTTTGAATTTGGCTCCGCTTTTCCAGGCCTGGCCCGGCGGCTGGTGCGCGCGGGTGCTAAGGAGTGGTCGGACAGCCCGGTGGTGCGGGTTTGCACGCGAGGTGCAGAGGGGAGGTGGCGTTACTGTTCCGGAGGGCAGCCCGAGCTGCCTCGGCTGGCCACGTGGGGCAGTAGAGAGGTCGCGCGTGGGGGACACGCGGGCCGGGACAGCAGAGGGTGGGGGGCAGTATCCCGGCTGCGCTAGGTCCAAGCAGCTGGTGCACCGGGCGAAGGGGTTGAGGTCAGAGAGCCAGCGTGTGTGCTGCGAGAAATGAGGGACTCCTAAAGTACGGGGAGGGGGGAGAGGACACTAGAGCTTCCCCGCGCCGGGTGCCTTCGGGATGAATTCTTGTCGCCTCCACCCCCATGCCAGGGGGAAGCTCACCCCTGCCTGGGGCCGGCAGCCAACCCGTGACCAGAGCAGATGCACAGGACCGGGACACCGAGCCGTGGGCTCCATTCTGCGATCCTCGGCCACACCTGCAGGGTCAGCCCCGCCCGCAGTGCCCCAAATGGGAAGGATGCGGGAGGAGGGCTGGTTTGCAGTTGGATCTGAGTGATGGCATGTCCAGTCCCCGCGCCCAGCCCCATGGCTCGCTCCTATCTGTATTTACAGGGGACTATAAACCGGACCCAGCTCCGCGCAGGGATTGAGCTGAGGCCTGTAAGACCTCCAAGGGCTCAGAACCAGCCCCAGCTGACCCGCTCCCCACAGCCAGCATAACGTGAGCTGAAATGGGGGCGATTTTCACGCCCCTTCGCGGAATGAAATACCCCCACGCGGGAGAGGAACAAGACGATTCTCCGGAATCTTCATTAATTCCTCAAACAGCTGCTTAGGCGAGTTGGGTTTATTTAACCCAGCTCTTTGCAACAAACAACCAGTCGGGGGAGAGCCCGCTTTCCCCGGCCCGCCCTTTAAAGCAAGTAGGGCTAGAGACACCCAAATCAGCCCAAGGTTCCCCCAGTTTGTGATTAGAGAGGGTGGTAAATAAAAGGAAAGAGAGAAATCTAGGCGATGGATTTATCATCTAATCTAGGAGAGGGGTGTGGAATTGCACGAAGGCCAGAGAGGAAGAGACAAGAAATTAGCTCATTTCATGTGTATCAAAGCAAGCCCTGCAGATACTAGCGGCCAAAGCCTCAGCTGGGGATCAATGGGCACAGGCCCTTTGACTTTCACAGTGGCAATTCACCCCAGCTGCCCAAGAGGGGTGGAAAGAAGGGGAGTGGGCGCCTCTGTGGGAAGGAGGGACGATCCGGTTTAGCTGTGCGCGCTGCCGGAGTTAACGGGAGCTGAAATCGGGGCGGGCGGCAGGCGGCAGGAACTACCCCGCCTGAGATTGCTGCTCCCGGAGAGTGGCCGCTGCTAGTTGAACGCCCCGAACCGGCTGGGTCCGAGGGAGAGGCCTAGTGCCTGCTGCGTCCTAGGGGTGGCTGAAGATGGGGGGCTGCTGCGATCTCTTCTCCTAAGAGGCCATCACCCCCTTCCGCTCAGCCCTCAGCTCGAGACCTCTTCCAGCCCAAGTGTAGCTGGAAGGGAAACCGAACAGCCCCCGCCCCCCGCGGCTGCTGAGCGCCCCCCAGTAGACAGGAGCTGGGGTTCCTGCAGCGCCGTGGGCAAGGCACAACAGGTGCATTATAGGGTGACCAGATGTCCCGATTTTATAGGGACAGTCCCGATATTTGGGGCTTTTTCCTATATAGGCTCCTATTACCCCCGACCCCCTGTCCCGATTTTTCACACTTGCTATCTGGTCACCATAAGTGTACCTTAAACACAAGCCACTTCGGCCCGAGCCACGCCGGTGGGAAACCTCAGCGGGCCAGCCAGAGATGGGACGGCTGGGCTGGCGTGCGGGCTGTAGTGGGGAGAACGAGCAAAGGTTTCCCTAGGCTACTTCTGCCGGGCGTGGACAAGTAGCGGGGTAAAATGTTTGCACGTTGCTACCGTGAGTCCCAGCCTGCAAAATAAATGTGCACGGTGCTATGTCAAATGTATGTTTATCATGGTAAGAACATGCGAAACGTTTTACATCGCCCCATAGACATGTATATGGTATGGTGTGTATCAGAGTAACATGTAGCATACATACATGTAGATGTTATGTTAATGTTTGCATATTACTATGACAGCATGTATACAATAAACTTGATGTAGCTTAGTGAGTTGAAATGTTTGTATGTTGATACCATAATATACCACGAGGTATAGATTTAATTTTAGTGTACGTTGTATAGGTAACATGCAAACCTTCTACCTCATTAAGGCACATTTATTGCATGTTATGTATTTTACTTGTTTTCACCACAGCAGCTGACAATACAAGTAAATGTAGCTATGTAATATGTTGACATGTTATTACCATGGCACAGGTACATGCAATAATTAAATGTACATACAATCAATGTCAAGGTTGTTTTTTATTCGGCATTTTCTGCCCATATTGCAATAAGCTATTAAGAACTTTGTCCTGCGTTCTACACCAAAACCCTATTCAACGGGATAAACACGGTGTATTAATTCATATGAATTTAATAGTTGCATTGCAACAGTACCCACCTTTTTTTTCTTTAAATGAACCTATATGCCTGATTATTTTTCCTTCGCGTGTAACTGACTATAGATTACACTTTTCAAATCTGTCTGAGCAACAAAAATGAAGCCTTTATAAATGGAAACATTAAATTCCACAAAACAACTTTGGAGATGTGAAAGGAATGTTCTCTCTCAAAACTTTCCAAAAGAAGTGTACAAAAATAGGAGTAAATAAATGGAAAACAGCACCCTTCCAAACTAATAAGCGTGCAAAGGAGCTATTTAGGTATCCCATTCTTTTCACCTATCTTCTGATCCAGTTCATGAAAATAATTCACAAACCCTTGGCAACTCAGTTATTTTGGCTTTGGCTTGTTTCTCTGTGCATGCATCACAACGTGGAAACCAATTATTTTGCTGCCTATAATCTAGGTCTATTCCATCCCCCATCCTGCCTGCATTTCTTATACACTCCAGCTCTGCCCAGGGGATGCTGCAAAGCTTGCCAAGGGCTACAAACTAGTTGGACCAGACAAGCAAATTTCATCTCTCTCCTTATCTCTCTAGTTGGCTGCTGTGGATTGATGGGAATGAATATACGGCGGTAACTTTATAGTCTCAGCCCACAGACCTAATTACAAATGTAATCTGGACCGCTCCAAAAATGAGCCTGATTTCTTTCCTCTCCCTAAACTTTAGCCATTTCTGCTGATTTGAGTTAAGGCTAAAGCAAACCCTAGAGTAGCTTAACCTGTCTGTTTCATTTGCATTTTGTTTGCGGTGTGGTTGTAAACTATGTTGGTCCCAGGATATTAGAGAGACAAGGTGCGGGAGGGAATATCTTTTATTGTAGTAATAAATCTTTAACATTTTGAATCTCAACATCCACTGTTATTAAAGAATTGATTCTTCCACTATCTGGCCCCTCCCCCTAATTTCCTACAACTGAAAATTTAAATAGATAAAAATAAAACAGGTTTAAATCCATAGTTCCACATACGTGTGAACATTTGAATAGATACAAATTGAAAAACATGCTTAAAATAAACAACAATATCTCATAATTATTAAACATTAAAATTGAATTCTGCCAAGACTCTCCATAATACAGCAGAATAAAGCTGCTGGCCAGGCACAATGATATCAACACATTTTACAAATATTAATTGACACAAGTCCCCTGTGGGCTATGCAGGTGGGGGAAACTGAGGCAGAGAGCAGTGACCTGGCTTGCCTTCAGTAAACGAATGAGCAAATAGCAGAGGTGGGAACAGAACCCAGCTCTCTTGACTCCTAAGCTTTAGTCCAAGACGATCCTGCTCCTTGTGCTCCCTGGCAGTATGGATAACATAACAGGATTTATATGGTGTAATTGAACAATGACACCACAAATGCTGAAATAACATGTCATGCCTGGTCATGAACCTGTGATTTCAGCACTTACTGACTTATCACTAGCCTGCTTCAAGCTGAACATGTGATTTCCCCTCCTTGTGTTCAGCTGCCATCTCGCCCAGAAAATACCTAAAACCAGGGGCAGGGCTTTGGCTGCATGTGTTGTGTGTGTGTGGGTGGGGGGGGAGGGGATGCTTTTCAAATGCAATTGACCAAAGGAGGTGTATGACACCAATT